TCAAAGACACACCTTTGGGGACCTGCTTTCCCAGCCAGACCCCACCTCCCGGTTTCAGCCAACTCGCAAAACGGCACCGCCAGCTGGGGACCAAGGGCTCAGCACGGGAGCAGTAGAGGCTTTCACACGTCACATACAACACCGCGCGATCTTTCTTCCCTCGCAGCGGCTTGGGTTACAGTTTTCTTCCGCCACGACTCTGTAGACTCTTTTCTCTCAAATGCTGAGCTAACTCTGTCTCCAGAAGAGACTGCCAGAAGACCAGGCTCAAGGGAATCCCAAAAGCATTGCTTAGGTAAACTGAGGGCAGGCAGGCTGGCCGGGGCCACTGTGAGTGCACCGCATTGCTCTCCCAAGTGGCTAGTCTGGAAAACCACCGTTTTCCCACTCCCCGAGAGTCCGTGGGCTTGGATCCTTACAAGGACTGCGGCCACAAACAGCCGCTGCACACGTTAGCGCGTCGTGACGGGGGAGGGGCACCCTGCTGCACACCTCACCTGCTGCTGACAGTCCAGGGACATCAGCAGCAGAGTTCCCACTCCCTAGCTGAGCAATCGGAGACTTGCTGAAGCAGCTAGTCCAGAATGGCACTGCAAATTGCAATTAGAATCACAACAGTGTAACACCAAACCGAAAATCAAACTGCTGGCCACACATTAAACATTTGGAGATGACCCAGGATAGCCATCCTCTGCATTTAAGAAGATACCCAAGCCAATACCAATTCTTATTCCCAACATGGTTGTGGGGGGCACTGGCCTCAAGCCAGGAGGGGTCGTCAGAACATCAACCAAGGAGCCAAGGCCAAGAGGGACATGACACTGGCTAATGTGACCTTCCAAGGAAAAGTGCCGATCAGTCCTCCTTCCTGTTGGTCACCAAGTAGGTGGGTACCCAAGGGACGCTGCATCAGTGTGGGAAATGAAGAACAGGGACCAGGGCTTGAGAAGATTTGGAGACAACTTTATAAGCAGCAGTCCTTAACTCTAAGCTCACTCCACTAAGTCTGTTCTTAAGGCCCCATGGGCACATCTCTGTGGCAGATTCCATGGGGAAGCAGTCAGTGGACACTGACTACCAGGGTGCACTGCAGGCCAGCCCCCATCAGCAGTGGAATGCCACGTTATGACATCCAGCAGAGAGCCGGGACAGGCTGGCACTGTCCTCAAGTACCGAGCCTCTACATTTCCAAGAATTCCTCAAGTTTGCTACAAAACACAAAATTATATAAATTTACAATTGAATGAATTATGTTAAAAAAACAAACATTTGAAAAGCATTTAAAAATCATCTCTTCCTAATTGTCTCACTATGTTTGATAATTACCTGTGTTCTTGGAGCTACAGACACCTGCTGTATCTGTGTGGTGGCACATCCCTTCCCAGCTCCATATTCACTGACAGCAAGTTGGGAGTTTGAAAGCAGTCTTGGTGGGAAAATTAACACCATAGAAATTGGCGCATTCTACAAACGGTGACTGAAGTTTCTCTGGAGAACCTGTGGTTAAAACATTTGCCAGAACAAATGAGAGATGATTGTGAGGGACAATGGAGAAGGTGGGTCTTTTCAGCTGATTTGACTCCAAGGATTCTCTAGAGGGAGAAGATGAGATTTCTGTCATGGAAAATGGCTTGAATGGGTACATAAGGTCCTTGTAAGCAGCCCAACTGGATGTCTGGTGTGAGGAGATTGGGAGAGGTGTCTCTTTGGTCTGAGCGCTGAATGAGTGAATGCCCCTGTCTGAGTGATTGCTCACCAGTGGTCTTCATTGTGGAGGATGGTCTTGGACATCTGAAAGACAAGACCCTGCCACTCATGAAGAGTGCTCTGAACATGTTGCCTCACTGTGAGTCACAGGTTTCTGGGGAGAGGAGGAACCAAGTTGTGAGGACTTTCAGCTGTTCATCTTGTCCAGAAACAAAACTGAGACCCAGTGAGTGTGGTGTCTAGTTTTGTGTCCACTGGAATCATCTGGGAAGAGGGAACCTCAATTGAGAAAATACTTCCACCCAACCTGTAAGCAAGCCTGTGTGGCATTTTCTTGACTGATGGTTGATGTAGGTGGGCCCCTCTGTGGGTACACCATCCAACCATGGTTAGTACCACCCCTAGTTGGGTATAGCCTCTCTGGAGGCTCCTGGAACCAGGCCCAGAATGAAGTTCTTGATGGAATGATCGTGATCTGGCCCATGATCCCCATGCTGAGTGACCTTTAGAAAATTACCTGCCTCCCAGAGACACACCAGGATCTCTTGGGATCAGCTATAACACAAGGTCACCAAAGGCCAATGTTGCATCTGCTTGTCCTGGGCTGTCTAAGCATGCCTAGTTGATGGATATGGCGGAATGAATCCACTAAGTATGACAGAAAGTGAAGGCCTCTGGCATGCAGATGGAAGGGATATTTAGCATCTTGGCCAGGGTGCCCAGGGAGCAAGTATCCTTCCTACAGCAGCAACCCCAGCCCCAGCATGGTGACCACATCATCCTGACTCTGTCCCTGGTGTGTTCCTCGCCACAGGATTCCATCTCTGTAGATAGAGTTTTCCTGCCTTGCCCACAGTCAGGACAAATCTTTGTCACCTGCCAGTCCCACAGCCGCTCAGACCCAACCAAGTAAACACAGAGACTTATATTGCTTACAAACTGTATGGCCGTGGCAGGCTTCTTGCTAACTGTTCTTATAGCTTAAATTAATCCATTTCTATACATCTATACCTTGCCACATGGCTCGTGGCTTACCGGCGTCTTCACATGCTGCTTGTCATGGCGGTGGCTGGCAGTGACTCCTTCCGCCTTCCTGTTCTTTCTTTTCTCCTCTCTGTTAGTCCCACCTATACTTCCTGCCTGGCCACTGGCCAATCAGTGTTTTATTTGTTGACCAGTCAGAGTAATTTGACATACAGACCATCCCACAGCACATCTCCAACTCAGAGGCTTCAAATAAACACTAATTTTCATCACAACTTTCTGGGTTGGAAATTTGGGAAGGACATTCCTGGAAAGTGTGTCTCTGAGCTATCAACAAGATGCCTCAGCTTCTTTGAGTTGCTTCCTGTCTCTGCATCCCAGAGGAACCCCACCAAGACTGAGATCTTCACAGAAGGGAGATTCCAGGTGGCCATCTTACAACTCAGTGGCTTAGCCAGGTGATGGTGGCCTTTAATCCCAGGAGAGGCAGAGGCGGGCAGGCGGGCAGGCGGATCTCTGAGTTAGAGGCCAGCCTGATCTACAGATCAAGTGCCAAAACAGTCAAGGCTACACAGGAAAACCTTGCCTCAAAAACAAACAAATAAAAAACAAACAAAATGCACAGTAGCTTCCATAGGACAAGAAACTGAAGCCACTTAGTCAACTCAAACACCGGAAATGAGCAACCAATCGCTTGCTGAGCTGTGAGCTCCGTGCAGTCAGGGGCAGAGGGTGGGGTTTTTGTGTTGGAGACACTACCACAAAATCATGGCGAGTCTGAGCTGCAGAAGGGAACATGCCCGAATCCAGCCGCCTGATCTGCGAGCCCTCGAGTCTGACTGTATCGGTCACTGTCTTAAGGTTCTGTTGCGGGGATCAAACACCGTGACTAAGAGCAGCTGAGAGAAGAGACCGTTTGTTTCAGCTCACACTTCTACATCCCAGTCCATCACCGAGGGACATCAGGGCAGGAATTCAAACAGGGCAGGAGCCTGGAGGCACGAGTTGATAAATGGAGGAGAGCTGCTCCCCAGCTTGCTCCCCATGGCTTGCTCAGCCTGCTTTCTTTTTTTTTGTTTTGTTTTGTTTTGTCTTTCGAGACAGGGTTTCTCTGTGTAGCTTTGCGCCTTTCCTGGGACTCACTTGGTAGCCCAGGCTGGCCTCGAACTCACAGAGATCCTCCTGCCTCTGCCTCCCAAGTGCTGGGATTAAAGGCATGCGCCACCACCGCCCGGCTCAGCCTGCTTTCTTATAGCACCCAGATCCCCTGCCCAGGGTGGGACCTCCCACGGTGAGCTGGGGCTCCCACATCAATCAACAATCAAGAAAATGACCCCATAGGTTTGTCT